ATTCTTTTTACGTTTGACCAATATTCTTTATTAAAAGATTTAGTTTTGTTTTTGTTTTTTATTAGTCTGTGTGTGTGTGTGTGTGTGTGTGTGTGTGTGTGTGTGTGTGTGTGTCCATGTGAGGCCAGAAGAGTGTATTGGATCATTTGGAAATAAAGTCAATCAGTCAGACATGGGTTCTGGGAAGCAAATTCACATCCTCTGGAAGGGTAACAAGTACTTTAACCACCGAGCCACCTCTCCAACCCCTCCAACTATTGTTCTTTTATGGCTAAACGTGTCTTAAATGTTTATCTGGACACTTTTCTTCAGAATTACTAGATCTTGCTTTATTTTCACAGTTTTTTTTATATCTACTTCCAGGGACTGCATGAAGCAGGATATTGGATAAGCTCCTCAGGAAGTTTTACCTCAGGTTATATCAATTTAATATCCACCCTAAGCTTATCTCTACAGATGAATTGTAAGGAAAGACTGTACCTTAGCAGAGGAGTCAGCTGCAGTCGTGTGTGGCATGATGCAGACTATCGAATAGGGGCGATCTCCATTTAGCGCCATTGAGTCCCAGTTAGTTCATCAATAAAACGAAGCAATAATGCCCGTCTCTGGATATCAGCATGGGCATTAAACAACCCCCAGACCAAGTAGGAAGCAACACTTACAGAGTCACCACCACAGTTCCTAGAAACGGAACGACACTTAGGGACATCCCTCCTAAGGGACACCACAAGAGATCTCAACATCTTAGCAAGCTGTGAAGGAGTATATGGGTCCTGTCCTGTGGGTCACACCTGAGAAAATGCCATTAGCCAGAAGTGCCTTCCAGCCTTGGTTGGGATTGGAAGTCTGGCTGAAGCTCAGGTATAAGTAAAACTATAGTTTACATGAACAAACTCCCCTTCCTTGGCAAGGGACAGACATATTCTCTCTCTTTTCTGTTCTCTCTCTCTCTCTCTCTCTCTCTCTCTCTCTCTCTCTCTCTCTCTCTCTCTTTCTCCCCTCTCTCTACCTCTCTGCCCCTTTCTCCCTCTCTCCCTCTCTTCCCCCATGAATTTTTACTGCAAAATGCAGAAACAATGTCTCATATGCTCCCTGAATGTAAAGAGCAGGGTTGGGCCATTCTTCTCTTTATCATTCTGTCATTTGAGAAGAAGAGGCTGAGATCTGGGAAGTCATATTCCTGTAGATCAGAGCCTGCCAGAAACTCTAGACACAAAGCCTGGCTTCTTTCCTAATGGTTATAGACCCCTGGGGAAGAACACCAGAAGTTTAGCTGTTGCCAGTTAAATGTAGGCTCTGGTTCCGGCCACTGCTTAAGTACCTTTTGATCTAAGTTCCTAATTGTACAGTGTCCTGAGTAGAAGCAGAATCAGGAGACAATGAGATGTTCATCTGGTCCATGTGTTTTGCTGGTTCGCACAGGGCATATTTCAAAACAAGGATTCATCATATTGCATCACGTGATATCATGCGTATCCCCCAAAGGACATAAATAGTATCAATGCATAAGTGAAGCCCAGGGAGAATCCTAAGACTACAGGACTCCTGGTTCACAACACTGAAACTCAGGCAAGGGTATGTAATTGACCTTGGCCTGCATATGCCAGTTTAAGTATATTACTTAAGCACTACAACTCTATTAACTGGAGAAAAATATTTTTAATTATAATTTTTAGGGATGTAGGATATTCTATATCATGTCAGTAAACTATTTTACAGTCTTCTAGAGTAAAAATGTATAGCCATCTTAAAACTGGTCCTCTTTAGCAGAAAATAGTGTGCTTTTTTTTTTGTTGTTGTTGTTAAAGCGAAAGCCATAGAGAACGCTTGCTATGGTTTGAGGTCCCTCTTCCAAAACTCAAGTGTTGCCATGGTGATAGCATTAGGAAGTGGACTGTTAAGAGCTGATCAGGCCATGAAGATTCCTCTTTGGAGGATGTGTTACATGTTTTTCTAGAGGATTGCCAGTGTGGCCCTGGCTCCACTGCCCTTTTCTTTTCCCCCATGTTGGGTCCCAGCAAGAAATTCACATGAGAGCAAATGTTGGTGTCCTAATCTGGTACCTTTTGGCTTCCAGAACTGTGGGTAATAAATGCCTGTGCTTTACAAATGACTCAGTCTCAACTATTCTCCTATAGCACCAGAACCAAACTAAGACACCTGTAAATCACACATAGTATGTGAAGTTTGACTGGAAAGTCTGTACTGGGACACTCACTGCTGCCATGCCACGGATCTGGAGTGTTTTTTCAAGATTTATCTGGTTTAGTTTTAGTTATTTGTATATGTGCGTCTGTGTGTGGGGAGGTGCAGGTGCCCATATTGGCCAGGAGGTGACATTAAGGAAGTTGTGAGCCTCCTAATGTGGGTGTTGGAAACCAAATTTGGGTCCTCGGCAAGAGCAGTATACATTCTTTAACTGCTAGCCCACCTCTCCAGTCCCTGACCTAGGAGTGTGGAGATTCACTTCCTTGGTGGGTTTACATAAGTGTGTCTGGGGTGTAACTCCCTATCAACATGTCCTTGACTCATTGAACTCAGTGTAAGAAGATCATGTCTCTTTCAACATATACTTTTACATAGAATAGGAAATGCTTGTTGTCCCTCAAAGGGCTTTGGGTGAGGATGTAGGTAAGCATCCTTTTGAAGAAATGAGAAATGTTAACTGACAGCAAAATTCTCCTGGCTTTTATTATGTCTAAAATCAGTTTTCGTCTCAGAACCTACTCAACACCGTACCTACAAGGTCAGACCTGACCCGACGACACGGCACTGGCCCTCCAAGTGTGAACTCCTAGGGTTAGGCCTCAGGATGGAAAATTCAACTGAAGAGACTACATTAAAATGACAGCTACATATAAAGCACATACTTTAAGATCAATATCATATCAAACTCATTAAATGTGGATGTCACAGATTTATCTAATAAATGTAATATTTCATTTTAGTGAAATAAAAGAGTAGATAATACAGAAGTGACATTTAAAGTAAAAAACTTAAAACCTAAGTAAGATTATTGCTGGTTTTTTTTCCTTTTACTATTCTTAGCTTGCCAAAAGTATGTATTGATGTAGACAAATTTATTGGCTAAGAAGATGGGTTCAATATCATAGACATACCCATGTCTAGAAAATGGACCTTGCTATGTGTGGCTCACACTAGGTATGTGATCACATCTCAGAACTGTGATTTAAGCACCACAGCATATCCATGCTGTCTTGAGAATTGAACTGAATCTGTCTTCTCATTAGCTTGAGACAACATGGGTGGCAACATTTTGGTCATGCCTCAAATATTGGATCTTTCTATTTTATATTTTTTTCTGTAGAATATCCAAGACATGCACCTGTTATAAAGCAAATACACGGGGGTGAGTTTCCCTCTGCATAATCATCTCAGCTCAGATGCTCACACATATAACCCTAGGTGCAGGAGAAGTGTTCTTACCATTTAAGAAAACTGCAGTTATGCTATCTGCTTCTTCCACCTTTTTTAACCTTTAAGAATGCAAGGTCAAAAACCTGCAGGGAGATGCAATGACTGTCCACGAGGATATGTCTGCACAGACTGACATTCTGGATGCTGTTCACTGTGTTTTTATTTTCTACATGAAATTTACGTTCACTGCATTTGTGCTCTTAACATGTTCAGCACTGAGAAGGGGATTTCCTCAGTTCATGGTATTTTTCAAACCATATTCAAGAGATATGGAAGAGAGGTTTCTTTTTATAATCAAAGATCTAGCACTACAAAGCCGAAGGGTCTAAGCCTGTGGTTCTCAAACTTTCTAGTCTATGACCCTTTAATAAAGTTCCTTATGTTGTAATGACCCCAACCATAAAATTATTTTCATTGCTACTTTATAACTATAATATTGCTACTATTATGAATGATAATGTAAATATCTGATATACAGGACATCTGATATGTGACCCCATCTTTTGACCCCCGAAGGGATCTCAACCTAGAGGTTGAGAACCACTGGTCTAAGCTAACCTTCATTGAGAGCACTGAATGCCTAGAAGCAATGATGTCCATACAGGATCCTTTGTGTGAAGGACTCGCCACCCATAGGAACATTTGGGAAGAGTGCCGACCTTCCAAATTTTACTCTGCTCCATTTCCTTAAAAGCTGAGGGACAGGCTTCATTAGCACACAGTTTAGATAGGAAAGGGGCAGTTTCTGGAAGTTGCATTGGCAACTCAGAAACCTGAGACATGTCTAGTATATCCAGGGAAAGTAAGGCCCCTGCCTTGTAGAAGTGCTCAGAACCAGCAAGCAGAAATCCACAGCTGTGTAACACAAAGTGACAACCGCCCCAGTACTTTCAGGTTGCTAGTTACTGGTCATATGCTAGAACACAAGAAAGAAGACAGAAATAAAGGAAAATGGGTTTCTCCGAGCGAGGATCCAAGCAGACACACTGAGCAAACAGTGAGATTTGCTTTTCTTGGATTCAGGGTCTGGCTGTAAATACGGGCCAGTTTTTCTTCATTCCTTGGGGTCCCTTACGGGAATGCACACAAGGCTGCTTCTTTCAGGCCTTCCAGTGACCCTGACCAAGGTCTATGAATCTGCTCCACGTGGGGCCACGGTAATATCCTTTAACTCATTCTTCAAACCTCTGCTTACGTCAGCTTCTGGAGTTACAGCCCCCAAGGGAAATGAGTGAGTGTGGAAGTTCACATTTTATTAGTGTAACAGGGACAAGAGTCCACACCAAAATCTGTACAAAAATAAATAATAAATAAATAAAAATTGTAAAGGCCAGGATCTTATGCTGAGCAGTGCTGTTGAATCTTAAGTATTTCAAATCAATGTAAAGCGGGTGAGAGCATCCTGTGTGGCCCTCCTGCAGGCCAGGAATAGAACAAGTTTAGAAAACACAAACGTGGGTTTGTGTTGGGTTTGCAACAGTGGATCCACTCGGAAAGGCGAGCCACGGAGGACTGCCTCCTATGGACACTACTTTTGGAAGTTGGACGGGGCGGGCACATACCGGACAGGTGGAGATGCTCTGTTCCCACTGAGTCATGCTCAGACTCTCCTCCAGGCTCGTGCACTTCTTCATCACCACATCCCAGCCACAGTAAGGGTCCTGGGCACCAATGCAGGCACTGAAAGCAGACATGGAAACACGCTGACTGTGCAGGTCACTTACTGCAGGAAAATACTATACCACAGGATGTTCCTGGGAAGATGGAGATCTTTCAAGTGTGACCTATGAAGCAGACCTAGGTGAGGTGGGGGCTCAGGGCAGGACTGAAAGTCCCCTGCTTCCTGCTTGGACATTACCTGGCTGTGACAGGCTGACTGGAACTGGGAGTGACCTGGTATTGAACTAGCTCCGTGCATTTCTGCTTGTAGCTCCCGAGAGAGGCCAAGGAGTCATTCCTCACTGATAGAACAACACACCAGGCATGCCCCTCACCTTGGGATTTGCTCCGCCTGTGACCTCACTTGCACCATTATGGGTGACTACAGCACAGCTACACTTAGAGAACCATTCAAAGGGCTCAAGTTCCTTTTCCTGTTTTTCTATTAAATGACATGACCACTAGGTAAAATCCAGCTTCCCAAAGGGGAGACATTTGACGGATTTCCTCTTGTGCTCAGGACCCTCCTTGCCTGCAAAGCCGCATGGAGACCTGAAGCAGGGCTTCTGCACTAGAGTGAAGGGTTTGGGCTCTGAAACTCTGCCTGTCATAACAGCTGTTTTTCTACCATGCTGAGGGCTCTGGTTGTTTCCAGCATTCCATAACTCTTTAAATATTACAACTGCTATCCAAACACAAATGCCCATTCAATAGGAAGCCCACATACTTATAATTTCCTCCCATTCTACTCTAAGCCAACCACTATGACTTATTATTTTTGGAAGTTGGATCTTTTAAAGAGACCATATGGAAAAGGCGAGTTTCTGATAGATGTAGCCATAGTTAAAGTGGCATTTCCTTTTTAAAATTTTATTTCTTTACTCTAAAACTCAATAAGAATGCAAGAAAGAATAAAGATTTTTAAAAAATCCAATGAGTTTGAGGTACTTGATCGGAAAAAGTCACATCAACATTGTGAAGAACTTGGGGGGGGGGAACCAATTATTAGTATGATTTTATCTGGTCTCTTGACAATAATTTTGCCCCTTAGATTTAAATATTTGCTATTCTAAAACAAAAACATTAATATTTAATATACTATAGCATAATTATCAAGTGTAGAACTGTTCCTGGGCCAAGGAAATTACAGCAGCAGGATTTAAAAAATGATTCTGTCAGTTATGAAAATAGCATCCTACTGTTGAACACACGCAAAATTACTACCCCCAAATCTTTATTCCTCCTTGCTACAATAGAAAAGACAAGATTTTGGCAAAGCCTCCTTGGGAGGTGCTCAGGTGGGCAGGATAACAAAACTTGAAGCAACAAGACCGAGGCTACCCTGTAACTATCACACACTTCAAAGGGCAAACAAAACACCGAGAAGAAAGCACATTTCTTGCACACATTTGAGTCTCTTTATTTTCTCAGAAAGATATAGCGCTTGGTGAAAGAATGTGTTGCACAAAGCAGAATCTGGTACAATAGGTACGGCTGTGAAAAAGTAATCTATGGATCTGTCAATTTGTCTTCAGTTTGGCTCAGACTGCCCTAACTTATTGTATTTTATGTGACAGGTTGCCTGTATGTAGCCAAGGCTGCTCTTGAATTGGATAGTCTACTGCCTCAGTATTCCAGTTCTTGGGACAAAAGCAATCATGACAATGTCCAACTGGTGTGGTTGGCTTTTGACTTACAGGTGGAACACAGGGATGTTTTGAACCCAATTTTCGATGGAGTGTGCATGTAGTACAAAAGATCACTCATGGGTAATGCCATCCTAGAAGGACCTACATTAATCAGCAGCAACACTTCATCAGGAAAGAAAATTCTTATAATGTGCTAAACTATTATGTAACTTCAGTCTCTTTCATTGCTCTTATGACCACAGACCCAGGGAGTCTGAGTTCTCGCTCATTGTCATATACTGATGGCTATTCAGGGTCCAAAGGAATCCCAAGTTCATAATGTTTTTATAGGTAAGATGTTTTCATGGCAATGGTTCTATTCTTAAAACCATGGATCAGTAAAGTTTATAGCAACAAAAATCTTAGGGGGAGATCAGTCACCGCTGCTCTTGACAATTTTGGAGCAGGTCTGGAGTCAAGGACGCTGCTGCAGCTTGGGTTTTTCATGGAGCCGTTTGCACAGCTATGAATCTGAAGCTCAAAGAAGATCTGTGGAGTAGCTATTAGATAGGGATGCATATGCTTAGTAAGGTCTTTCAGCTGTATTTCTCCACTGACAAATAAAACTACCTAGCTGACTGGTTAGAACACACTGATTGCTTACATTTCCATTTAGACCAGCGTCATTCTGTCTTTAAATATTCAACAGGAAGGAGAATCCCAAACTGTTGGTGAGCTAAAGGAATGCAAAGGGAAACTCAGAGCCTATAGGAATCAATTTTATACTTAGCACTATGGAGTGTTTCTAGCACACTTGACTGTTCTTATAAACCTGTTTGCTGCCCCTACCACCATAGCAGTAACATGATTACACTGAAATAGTTCACAAATAAGAGACGAGGAAGAAAAGCACTTGTGATCCAAAGGTGTAGGCAGGAGAGCTTGGTACTGTAGAAGACAGGTAGACCACAATGCCTCTATATGATGCTGTGCATACATTTTCTTTGTTTATGCTGTGCACCTGTACCAATATTTGTTATTATTGCCAGAGGCAGATCTATCATGAAATGGAGGCTCACTTCATGAGACCAACTAAGGTGATCAGTCCTAGGGATTTTGAATGTATAACACTATATTACCTTTAGTGGGATGCCTATCAAATAGTGCATGCTTCATACATATTCTGCCTACATCAAGTCTGTGCCTTTTCCTAATAATTACACAATGCACAATAAGGGAATGTACAATTATTAGCACTAGTCAAGGTCATAGAAGTTTTTGTTCTGTTTTCCAACACATTTTGAGAACTTCCTCCTTACTTGGCAAGGTTCATGGGGTATTACAATAATGCTAAAAGATGTTTTGTTCCAGCCTGAACCCACCTGGGATTCCTTTTACAGACAGCTTTGTACGACAATACAAGCATGTGGGTACATATGATTTCTTTCCCCGCTCTTTATTTAGACAGTTACAATCATTGTAGGCATAGAGAAGTTGCCACAGTCACCATTTAATGACTTCAAAGTAACCCACTGAGTGAAAAATCCATTGAAGGTGTCTGTCATGTCTTGGTGCTTAGTTCTAGAAGCTGAGAATTAGAAAACCAGTTATAATTCAGACATGACTTAAAAATAATTGGAAATCAGGTGAGGGGATTAATTCCTAGCATGGTGTAGGATCAGGTTTAATGATAAATCCATTTTGGAATAAAATGTAATACAACCCCAACCACCTTTGCCTCAGTTCTACATTAGATATTCAGATAATTTTATTTATGGCAGAATTTCTCATTAGACTCTGAGCCCTACACAGGCAGGGTCAGGGATGTATCATCTGTCATCATACACTTAGGGATTGGTTTCGTGTTTGGAATGCATTAAATGCTATAAATGTTTTGTGAATGAACTGATGAAGGAAATCCACAGACTCTACAGGCTAAGCAAAAGAATGCCACTGTAGTTAAAACTTCAGGACATCGAAATTTGGAAATCGATAAATTAATTGTAGAAGGAGAATATTTGCTTTGTAAAGTGAATGTTCATCAAAAGTCCCTCCTGGATGCTTGAATGATATGCAACCTGTTGACTGAAGGTGCATTCCTTGGACCATGGAAGATACTGTTACTTTCCCAGCACGAGTTATACTTTCCCATTGTGCACAGAGTGTCTTCAGAGAACTTTTAATTAATAATGGTGACAACCTATTAAGTTTACCTTTGAAACGTTGCCCTTTAAAAGCAATGAATGTCCTACAGTACTTAATTTCCATACAAATATTCTTAATGAGGTATTAATTCCTTTAGCTTAATGACACTATTACACACTAACTGGATGAACAGTGACAAGATACAAGCTCTGCCCGGTGAAGCCCAAGACTTTTTCTTAATGATTCTACCTTGCTTTCTAGTTCTATCAAATTCAATTCTAGAGGTGTCCATTTCCCATTTCATATGTGGGCTGTGTCTGTTCCTGGGGCAGCTTTTCTTTTCTCCCTAATTATGTCATACAACAGAGGTACCGAAGGACCACGGGCTTCTACTCTTCTTGCTATTTGTACCACCGTGCCTTTCTATGTTTTCACAAAATGTTAAACCACTCCGCCTGCCCACTAGTTAAGAAAAGAGAGCAGAGAAGGCAGAAGCAGAACCCACGTGTTAATTCATCAAATATGTACTAGGCATTCTTCTAAGGTGCATATAGTGCTGGAGGCCCAAGGAACCTGGAGCCAGAGACCAACCAGGCCTTAGGGCTCAAGTTTCTGCAGCAAGACAGAAACTATGTTGTTCTTAGTTTCTGCTCTAGGACTGTACGCATTGCTGCTTACACACACTCTCTTCGATTCAGATGGATCCCTCATACACAGAATGCAAGCTCTATGGCCTGGTGGGCTAATCTTATCTTGCAAAGTGCAAAGAGTGTCAAATAAAAAAAAATAAACAATACATAAGAGTTTCTAAAGTAAAGAAATTCTATGAGATTCAGAAAATATTAGGTTTTGTATTTGCAACTTGATAATTTATTTAGTAAGTTTAATAACTTGTATTCACATATATGTAATAGAAATACATCCAGTCAAAAGACATACCATTTTAACTCAGGATTTAGTGAATGAAAGTCTATAGGCCACATGTATCCCACTGAGTTTTACTTAAACACAACACACACAGGGATGTTTTTCACTCCAGTACCCTGATGACCATTCATAAGCCCATCAGGTATGGCTCAGCAGCAACACACCTTCTTAAGCTTCAACAGAATGTCTCAATATTAGGTCCTAGGATACAGTGGGTTTCCAGGAGTTGCTATATAGTCATCCCCTTCCTGCCTCCCTGCTCTGTGAATTCTAGGGCTGATCTCATGAAGTTGGGCCCCATCACTCTGCTCACCTCTCTGGGGCTCTGCAGAGGTACTAGCTTCCTGTCTTGCTTCACTTAAGCAACAGCTGCAGGTTCTTCAATGGCTCAGCTTCTCAGAGAACCCTCTGGATCAGCAGGCACCTTGGTTGTCCTGTATGTAGCACTGGCCCCAGCCCTTTTTGCTTTGGTATCTTTCTGTGGAATACTGCATCTAAGTGCTGATGTTCTTTTCTGGTCTTGATTGGTTATATAAGTCATAAACAGTCTGAATCCTAAGGCAGCTCATATATTTTACCTATCCGTTCACTGTCAAGGTTTGCTCAGCCCATTGCCTTGGTTGGGCAGGGTAAAGCTCATTCCTTGCTACAGAAATTGTATACTTGGAGTATTTTCCTTCCTTTTGCAAAGAAAGTTTACTGAGCTGCAGATCTAGTCAGTGCACACTTCCTAAAATGCCTTTAACAGTATGTGTCCTTCCACTGAGCCCTCCCTTACAATCTTTCTTTTGCAGAGACTTCAAGAGCTGTAGCTATCTTAGGATGTGCAAAGCTTCCAGAGGAAGGAGGGGATGAAAGGCTGACTTCGAGATATGGCTCTGAAAGCCTGACACTTGTGGTCATCTCTGCTTCCTGGCATGGTGAAATGGGAACTTTCCAAGTCCAATGCCCAAGCTTATCAACTCTCTCAGTGCCAGGTTACGATTTTGCATTGGAATATAAGTCAGGCAAGGATTCAGGTACTGGCTTTTCTGTCAGTTCCATCCTGTGCTCTTTCTTCAGAGGTCACATACTGACACTGGCAGTGTACACCAAGAGCAAAGTGCCCAGGAGATGATATTCATGAGGTATTGTGAAACATTGACTTACAGCTGGGATGTTAGATTTCCAGGTATCTCAAAATCCTGCAAAAATCAGCTCATGACATGAAATACATAAATATATGTACTCAGTCATTATATAAAAAAAAGGATATTTAAAGAGATGACACCAACTCCAAGGCTCTGGGTTTGGCTCCATCATCTGCATTATTATCTATGCTAATTATTAAATGGCAGCATCCAAACATGCTAACATTAAAACAAATATATTTACTCATGTTTGTGATAAAATTTGACTAAACTATAACTTTAAGGTATGTTTTTGTAAAATAACTTCTAGAGAAATGCCCATGCTACCATGCTGTTTTTTGAGCTACAATGAAGAAGAGTCATGGACAGTGTTGACAGCTTCCCCCAAGGGTGTAGGATCACCCTGAGAAAAACTGGAACAGACACTCAGCTTGGGGTGCTTGAGGAAGGTTCCATGCTCCTTCCATCTGCCATATGGCAATCACAAAATGAGGAAGCTGGTAGGCAGATATCATGCTTAGCAAGTTCCATGTTCCTGGTCCTATACAGTCTGTCTGGACCCCAGCAGCTCCACATGAGATCCGACTCTATCTGTGGGGACTGCTCTGTACCAAGAGCAAACCATCAGTTTTGCCAATAAATCATTAGCATAGATTTGGGGTGCATACAGGCTGGCTCTGATCTTAGTGTGTCACAGAAGGAGATATGTGACTTTAAGCAGGGCACTGACATCTAGACTTTTACACCTTTATCTGAACAACGAGAATGGAATGGTACTCTACTTTCAGAGTTGGCTCAATAATCAAAGAAAATGTAATAGAAATGTAAAAACTACTGTAAAATTGTATGAATTGTCTTTGGAAAACAGATAGTCAACAAAAGGAAAAATATAAAGATTTTGTGATACACTTTTCCTCCTCAAAAGTGTCATATTTACATTTGAGGCACATTATTTACATAGGCTCACTTTCTCTTTTTAAATATTGTAAAATTTCATTTGTAAAACTGATTTCCTAAAGCTAAAACCAAATTATTGATATTTTACTACAGAATGACATTTGACAATGAATTATCACATAACCCTGTTATTAGTCTATTCCTAATCACTGTGCTTCATTAAGTCTATTTCTGGACAATTAAAATTGTTTGTCTAAAAACATTCTCTTTTTCCTATAATTCGTTCTAAAAATCCAAGTAGGTAGTGTTTATGAAATAGAGTCTTCTTGTGAGTGTTAACTGGGGAGGCCCTCCCATCCTTCCACATGAAGAGGACACGTAGAGAAGCACGTTAGAAGACACACAGAGGGATGCTTGGTTCGCAGTCTTTAGAATTTCCTTTTCAGATGGAATACTAAGAGCCAAACACAAGCCAGCCGACTGCAGCACACAGAAGCCCAGTATATGTGCTCACAATGGAGCTGTGCTCTCCTGCTGTTTCACTCTGAGCAAGGGAAAAATAAACAGAGGGGAGATTCAGCTACGAGAGAAACATGAGCGTCTCCTCTCCTGCGGGGGCCAATGAAGATACACATGTGGCCTTATTCTCCTCAAAGGAAGCAATAACTGCTGACTTCTGGCATCTGCACCTGGTGGCTCTAGCTTCTGTGGATTCAAGACTGGGTTGATGGACCATAGTATGAAAGATAGTGGGTACCGTACCTCTCTTGGTAATAGGATTGTCTTAGTTAGGGTTTTTATTGCTGTTAAGAGAAACCATGACCATTGCAACTCTTATTAAAAAAATGCTTAATTGGGGTGCCTTGCTTACAGTTTCAGACTGTCAGTCCATCATCATCATAGCAGGTAGCATGGTGGTGTGCAGGCAGATATAGCTGAGCATCCTATATCTTGCAGGCAACAGGAAGTCAACTGATACACTGGGCAGTATCCTGAGCACAGGAAACCTCAAAGCACACCTCCACAGTGACACACTTCCTCCAACAAGACCAAACCCACTCCAACAAAGTGGTACCTCCTAATAGTGCCACTCCCCATGAGATTATGGGGTCCAATTATATTCAAACTGCCACAATGACCCATGATTTAGTTCAGTGAGTTAAAAGGAGCTGAGGTGACCTAGATGCATTGAAGTGAGGTAGAATGAAAGCAATGGATTTTGTCATGCTTTGCAACTGCACTCCTGTTCAGTGCCAGAAACTTCTCACATGGCACAGGCCCATGTTGTTCTGACTATTATCCTGTCTTGACCCGAACAAGTCCCCAGGAGAACTTGACTCTGCCAGAGCGAGACTTGGCAAACTGGTATCCTTCCAGCCTTACTTGGCTAGGATATTGCTCTGGGCGATCTCCCAGCTGTCTCTGTTATCCAGAGAACGATCAGCACCCAGAAAGCAGTGACATGTACTTCAGACTAGACTTGCAAAAATATACACAGGAAGAAGTTTCAAACAGCCACTGGTTAAAGTTAGAAATCAGACATGGACAAAAGAGGGTTGCCGATAAATGTCACTATCCACTAATAATGTTTACAGTCGACTAACTTACTCAATAAGAGTGCCCCATAGTATTAACTTTTCTGATTCTGAGGAATGTCATGCATATTTCATTTCATAGAATAATCCTGAATGGAACTTTGTAGTAGTTATACATAAAAAGAAAGAAAAAAAAACACCCTTCCTTTACATAAGAACATGCAAAGACCTTGTGATTTTGCTGTGTATATATTATCCCATTTGATTCTATAGAATGTCACATATGTGAGGTGAGACAGTAAGGCTGAAGTACTTTGGGAGTCATGGTCAAAATTATAGATGACAGGTGTGCTATGAATTTCTGCCTTAGGCTTCCTGTATAGAAACAGAATGGCCCGTGCATGGCAGAATCTTACAAGCAGTACAGTGAAAAATGTCACCTCCACTTAAACCCTCAGGTATGCCTTGCTTAGGGGAGTGGACATGAACAAGGACACCAAGCCCCTCCAGAGCAGAATTGTGTCAGAGGCCAGAATTCATTTCCAGTACCCAACACTGTAAACATTACAGTACTAGTCAAGTTTAAGGAGCTCACAGTCCCCTTTCATTTCCTAAGCACCCGGGCTTACGTGTTTCCAAACTACACTTCAAAGTACACTGTGGTCAACTCTGGATACTCCTTAGAAAATAAGAGGCCAGAGCAGGGGGTGTGGAAAGTCCTGATGGCACTTAGCTCTCCCTGTACCTCCAAGATTTCCTTCCTGTCACTAATGCCTACACGATGATGGAACCTTAGGAATAAACTGTAGCCAAGGCTGCTAGGGAGCAGAACAATATGTGGTAGATGACCTGTGAAGACGAAACTTGGGACCAGGATCAGCGCTACTTCTCAGTGGGCTCTAAGAAGAGTACGGGCCTTCTTTATCTCACATTCTCTCTCCCTTCTCCTCCCTCTCCCCTCCCCTCTGTGTGTGTGTGTGTGTGTGTGTGTGTGTGTGTGTGTGTGTGTGTGTGCGCACGCGTGCGCGCATATGTCTGTATTCAAATAAAATATTAACTTATGCTGGGGCACTAAACCGTAGCATTGTCACTGAGAGTTATTATATACTGAATAATTCATTTTCACACTTATGACTGCTCATACTTGTTACCCACGTGGTTCCTCCAATGACAACCAAGGGTTAGTGGCATCATAGTAACTCATTTCCATGAAGACACTGTATCCTGGAACGTAAGATGCATATAGATGTAAGTTCCTACACACTTCTGACTGTAGGAGATTGGAAAGTCTTCTTGGCACAGATGCCCTCACCCCGGGGACTCCTTACCTACGTGTTTGGTGGAAGGGGCACCTCTTCAGGGGGATCTTGGCCACATGCTCCTGCAGCCCCACGAACAGGACACTCTGGCTGTGGAGGATCTGCAGGCTCCTGATGGGTTCCCGCTTCCTCTCTGGGAAAAGCTCAATTTCTTCCAGCAAACAGCTGCCTGAGGTCTGACTCAGGGGAGCCCGTACTTTCTTAATGGTGCCGTAATCTGCAAAGACAAGACAGGAAGGAAATAAAGCATGCGGGTAGCACAGCCGTCGTCAGAAAGGCGGAGGATGCACATAGCACACAGCCATGATCACCAGGCCATGAAGTCAACCAAGTGTTGTATGGTTGCATGCATTGAAATGAAGCAACTTTCAATAATGCAGAGGACTCTTCAATGGGCCACTCTGGATAAAGGGTTTAGGTAGTGGTGCTCCAGTGCAGACAGCCGTGAGAATGACCGACCTACCACTCGCCTCTTCAGTTGCAAGACTAGGAACTAGGGCCATGCTAAACTTCACTGCTGATCAAAACAGCTGCAAATTAACAGGGGAGAACAATCCCAACAGGACAATCTGGGGTCCTTGATGCCAGTGAGCTGACTGCTGCCCATGCACAGAAGATACAAAGTGACTTGTGATGTGAATATATGGTCATTTCTGTGAGTTTGAACTTGACTCATGTCTGAACTGATCCAAGTCTTCTTGGCCACAGGTTCATGCATTTAATATTGCCCATGGTGAGGGTCCTCTGCACCATGCAGACTCTGCAGATAGGTTGTAAGGGATTCAGAGCAGGCTCCTTTTAGCTCCGTGGTTCTCAACCTTGTTAAAGCTGTGGCCCTTTAATACAGTTCCTCATAATTTTTGTTGCTACTTTCTAACTGTAATTTTGCTACTGTTACGATTTCTAATGTAAATATCTGATATGCAGGATATCTAGTATGTGACCCCTGTGAAAGGGTCATTCGACCTCCAATGGGGTTGTGACCCACAGGTTAAGAACTGATATTTAGCTCACCCATCAAGTGTTTAGTGGGGATGGATAACCCTTGTGTCAGGGAGATGAGTGGGAGCTTGAAGGCCACTGTTGCTGGCCTGCAATGTCCAGAAGCACTTGTCTTGAAGCACTTCTAATAACTATCACTGATATATGTAGTTATCTCAAATGCAAAAACTGAATAAACGCATATGGTTTCAAGTTTCAAATCATAGTTATTCTTCTTCTCTAAACACAGAACCAGCTTAAGAAGTTATTTTAAAAGCAGAAATAAAACCAGGAAGTGTTCACTTGAAGGAGCTTCAAACAAAAAAGCAAAAAAGACTGAACAGAAAATACTTTACAATTTTTACCTTTATGGAAGTCCTTAGATAAAAAGACTATTTATATTTAAAGAGAAAACACATGTGCACGATTATATTAGCTTGACTTTACTTAAAATGTAAATCTGAAATACCTCCAATGAACATTTTCTCAAAAAACTAGCTACATCATCACATATAAAGTGTTAGTAACAACAACATTTTTACTTCAAACTAGCTGGTTACATATATTAGTTTTTGAAAAAATATCCACTATACACGGAAGACTGAAAGGAATGTGTCTGTGTGCACTAGAAAATGGGCAACAGAGTCCATTCAGAAAATTATTGACTCATGAACATAAATATGAAAGACCATGTTGATAAAGCCTTTATTCTATAATAAAACTTCTTTCTGAATTAGTGACTAGAGTTCATGGGCTTGTGAAAAATTTAGCCAGCCTTGGTGATTTTGGTTTACCCTGCACAGGACAATGAAAACCATCAGTAAGCAGAGCATGGAGGCCTAGGCAGGCATGATGGGAGGAGCTTCAGGGACAAGGGTTGACTTGAATTCAGATGTCTCAGTCACAAATCTCTGAGACTTCCAAAAGATACTGGCAGGTGGAGCTGTCAGCTTCCCAGGGAGTAACAGAGCCTTCTACTCTACTGTGGGATATCACAGCAACAGTGAGAATGTCAGTTCAAATCAGGGGTTGGGAAGTAGCCATCGGCTACTCTTGGATAAGTGACATGGGTGGAAATCACTGGGTAAAGCAGAACCTTCTAACCAATTTCGAAGGCAGTGAGGGACAGGACAGGTGAGTGTCAAACAGGAGAGTGACAGGGAATACTTTGTGAATGTGGCACCCTAGCATGGTTTGCAAAACAGAAGTTTAAACTAGAACATATTCAACAGGTAGCCAAGACCCCTTTCTATTGACTTATTTTGTTTATGAATTAACACTGTGAGAAACCTGCCAAAATTAATAATACCTCTGGAGTCAACTTCACTGGTATTTAAAATTCTTACAAAACTGCAGAAAGAACCAAATTTTAGTAGAGCTTTAATAATTTGATTCCAATAAGCTATCAATGATGAAAAATATTCTGTACATGTCTTTTTCACACCCTGTATCCAGTGTTCCTGCCAATGGGATGTTAGCATTTGACTGAAAGATTGTAAGCAAAGATTTAAATGTTGGTCTATGACCCAGGGTTCTGCTGTCTCTCCTTATCTATGGGCATCTAGTGACATGAGGAGTCCCTTGTGGAATTATCATTCCCTTGGTGTCAGGATTATTATAGGGTGATCCTGAGCCACACAACAAAAGCTTAACTCCATGTCCTTGCAGCCTCTTCCTATCCTGCTGAGCCCCATCCCTGCTTTGTGCTCACCGACTCCCTGTCAGGGTCTTACTCTCTTAAAGTGACCTTGAAGACCACAGCACAACAGGTGAGAAGCCACGCCCATTCCTTGTACTGACCTTACTTTGAATTGTATTTGTGCCTTTTATGAATCCACTTTTCTCCATTTCATATACAGCATTATATTGACCTTATTTTATCTTTAAAAAACTTGCATGCTTTGCTCTCATCCTGATGTTTATACAATTTTGTTTTGACATTTTTCTTTATTATGTAGTCATTTTTACCCCTTGTTCTTTTCTTACTTACTTCATGACATTCCTCTCAGTCCCTTCACATCCCAATCTATTTGTGTTTTCTTTTCCTCCACTAATCTTGTCCTTTTTTTTCCACTGAATTACTAATTTTATTTTCTCTTTAAATAATGTTTTTATTGATTCATTGAGCATTTCATACAATGTTTGATCATATTCACATCTCCTTCCCTATCCTCCCAGATCCACCCTCTTCATTCTCATGTACCTACCTACCCAAATTTGAGTGTTCTCCTTTTATTTTTAAACACATTGAATACAATTTGTGTTGCCTAGCTACTCTTGGCAGTGGGGTATGGAGTATCTACGAGGGTTCACATCATTAAAGAAAACTGACTCTCTCTCTCCCAAGAGCTGTTGAATACCAATAGCCTTTCAGCTAGTGGTGGGATTTCCTGCCATCTCTCCCCTGTACAACCTCCATGCCAGGATTTTGTTTGATTTGAGCTTTCACAGGCCTTGAGTGTACTGTCTCAATTGCTGTGCATTCCTGATGGCTATGCCCTGTTGTATCTGGAAAACATCATTTCCTTTGACTTATTTCTGGCTCTTATGATCTAACATACTGTATATCATTCGTGCTGTTTTCTGTCCTCTTTTCAATCATGATACAGTAGCTGGCATTAAAAACCTTAAACTAACCGCCCACTCCTTAGACTAATACAACCACAACTTTGAAGAACGCTGGGATATGATCAAGAGAACAAATGTAAAAATCTTTGGTGAAGACATAGAACACCTAGTTACTGAAATTAATGCATAGATCTTTCAAGCACATGGAAATGTAGGTATATATAATATTTTAACATAGTACATATAATAAATAAATATACATAGATATTATATAAATAAAACTTTGAACCAAAAATAAATGTGGTTAGGTCTACATGACACATCATAGTTAAAATTGAAAGACTACAGAACAAAAAAAGAATATTAAAGCTGCAAGAAAAAGCCCCTAAATTTATGAGGACTAACCATCAGGATAGCATCAGCCCTCTTAGCAGCAGCCCTAAGCACAAGCAAAGTTTGGAAGAATAAAGTCCAGGTTCTGAAAGAAAGTGAAGAACAACCAACTAAGATTATCACCTCCAACTATGCTGTCATCTGAAACTGATAAAGAATAAAGACATGTCAAGAGAAGCACAAACTGAAGCAATTCATGGTCAACCTGGCCCTGCAGAAGAAACTTAAAAGAATTCAGAGGAGGAAGAAAGTCTTAATCTTGGGACACAGGAAGAAATACATTTTGTAAGAATAATAAAAAAAATAATAAATCACAACCAAATCAGCAAAATAGGAAAAGTACTTATATGAATGGAGAAGCAACAAAACAATATATATTTGAATCAACCAGAGGAAAGAAACAATGAAATAAAAAAGAATCAGTCAACATTCTTTCAGTAATAACCCAGAATATAAATGATCTTAGCTTCTTAATTAAAATACACAGCCTAGCTGATTGGATAAAAAAATGCCATCCAACTGTTTGTTGCCTGCAGTTCATTCTCTGCTCTATATTTCACAATATAGCACACACACACACACACACACACACACACACACACACACACACACACACACCAAAATCAAACACGTAGTCTTTGGGGGAATATCCTTTCCCCAGCTCTCCACTCGACACCCACCTATTCTTTCTTAGTAAATGGTCTCTATTTCTGTTTATAAAGAATCATCAGACATGCAGTGAATCAGAGGCATCTCTGGCAGTACTTCCATGTCACACTGTAGAATTTGATTGCTGCTTTGATTCCGACCACACAGCATGAGCACTTTAAATTATCCATGCCTGCATGCTATAAAAAAACAGATGCTGCATGAAATACCTTTGCTAGGATTTGAGACTACTCTATGTTATGAATTCTAGTGTTTTTACTAGACATACAAAACTTTCTGTCTTATAGAAACATGGTAGTCTAATTATAGAAAACAAAGAGTTTTAATAGCTTCTACCATTATTCCTTAACACAAAATTATCAAATCAGTTTACTTTGTATTGTATTTTATTGAAATGTTTGGTTTTAAAAACTGGTATTTAAGTTTGGTGATGAGTTCTATTAAAAACTGTTAAATTTTGGCTTTGGACTTCAACAGAATTTCCAACCACTTCTGAAATGGCTGGATGTAGTCATATGTCTGCCATTTTGTACTATGTATTTAGGCAAAACAGCATTCTTAGCATCAACGGTTATGAAAGCAAATTAGTAACTCACTCTGGAAAAT